ACGATACACCCCAGTCTGACTGGACAGATAGTGGGGGCTTGGTGGTGCTTGGGTCCTTGATGCTGCACAGAAAGGTATTTATTTGGGGGAACAAATCACTCAATACAATCTAGAGCAGCATCTTGTCCTCTTTCCCACTGAGACACAGCAGAATAACATTTCTATTCTTCTGGCTTCTAAACTGTTTACCAAAGTTCTAAAATTTATATTAACTACCACTTCTAAAGGTTATTTCTACCCAACCAGTACCATAAGACAGAAGAGACCAAAGTACACCTCTCTCAATAAAAAACTCCACTTCCCACAGCTAAGCAACAGCCAACTTTCAAATTACTGGTGTCCTGACTTAAAATCCAACTGGCAATTAGAGGTGGGAAGGCTCCACATCCTGTCATCCATTCCTCAATCCTCCCTACCAAACTTCACTTCCAAACACACTCCACAAAGAAAGATTACAGCACTGTGGAGAGGAGGGCTTGAAGTTCTCCCACAGTATTCCTACAGAAACATAAAAYACAGCATTTCAGAGGCATACTGGAACCCAGTTTAACCACAATACCTGCCAGCATGGTTATCAATGCATTAATCAGATACATGAAAATTAAGCTGGACTGCTGTAGGACAGCCAAGTTCTGCCAAAATATATCCATCAGCTCCTTCATCTTAAATCCAGAACTTGGTACTGGAGGCGAGCTCCTGCAAAATCCCACATGGAAGTACTGGTGATGTGTATGTACTCACACACAGATACCCATTTTTCAGAAGTTATTTACTCTTAGTATGGGTAATGAGGCAAAGAATTAAACTTTGATTCTCTGTGAAAACCATCCTCAAAGTCCAAAAAAAAAAAGAGTGAATTTATTTTGTGCAGAAAAGCACAGCAAGAATATTGTTTCCAGGGTCTCTTCAAAGCCATATTCAAACAGCTGTCCCAGCACCCGCTGCCCACATGCTGGTCTTGAAAAGACACCAAAACCCCCCAAACATTGTGTATGGCAGCATAGGCTGATCTACCTCAGCATATCAAACGTGCTGCTGCTCCTCTCACCATGTAAGAAGTAGAGACGCAAACAAATAGCTGGATTGCTGCCACGTGAATAGTTCAACTGCATGCAACTCTAAACCACTTCCCAGACTTTTTTGTTTTTACAAAAAAACAGGTGAGTCTCACATTTATTGCGCTGCAATAAGAGAATCTAGTTATTTTTGAGCAGCGTATTATTTCACCTGGACTAACTAAAATATTCAGTTACACAACAGCTAATCATGAACAGAAGATAAGCTCAGAGATAAAAATAGGGAGAAAGACAGAGAGACCTTGTAACAGTTAATCAGCATGATTCATTTGTCAGCCTGCCATACGCAGCACCACCTGAAAAGAAAGCCTTGAACTTCCCTCCAATAAATCTTTTTAAGCAATAAAACCTCTTGGGTTGGTTTTGCTTTAGTTTTACTTCTAAGTCATTCATCAAACTCCTGTTAAGCTCCAAATACACAGAGGAATCAGAGTCCAAATGGGGAAGAGGTACAACATACCCTGAGTGTCACCCAGCCCAGATTAGCCCAGCAGCGACCCCTCACAGCACGTCAGTCTTGTTTGACTTCCATAAAGAAATGTGCCTGAGCACATTCCTGCAGGACAGCTTCATCCGAAGGCTTCCGAGTCTGGCCCTCTGTCCTCAGCACACTGGCTGGTGCCCAGGTACTTAACTCACTTAACATGAGCCGGATCACTGGGATTTCAAATCCTCACTGGGATCACCGTGCTACACAGGAAACCATAACAGGGACAGTAGCAGCTGGCACGGGAAAGGCGGCCAGGGACAGGCATAGGGCACTGAAGGCAGGGAGCTGCCAACTCCCAGATAACAGAGGCACTGGTGATTTTGGAGRAAGATGGAGACCGTTTGTAATCAACCATTACTGTGGTATAGTGTTTCATGAAAATAAAACTGATTTTGTCTTCTCTTTTGTCTTTGCCATAAGGCCTCGGACACTTCCCAACAGCCCTTGCAAACTGAAAGCAAAAAAAAAAAAAAAAAAAACCACTTTGGGCAATGTGGGAGACTTCAGCATTTGCTCCTGAACAATGGTGTCTATTCAAGTCTCAGACTCGCTCTGGCTGTTAATTAGGAAAGTAAACAAAAAAAAAAAATTATAATTTAAGCCTTCATTAGATATTTGGCTTTCTAATCTCCTCTAGAGAATACTGTCAAACTCCCCTCCTATCCAAAGCAGGGATTTACACTTCTACRCCAAGCCAGTTCCCCAAACCTTAACTGGAAGTGGCATTAAGTTCAAGACAGGCATAGGCAGAGCAAGATTCAGCAGCAGCAAAATTTCATTAAGCCGGTTTTTCACGTGTTAACTTCATTTATCCATTAAAGATGATGCATAATTTAGAAGTATCGAGCAGCTCCCCTGACAGAAATATGTTCTCTGATCTCACCCATGATTTACAGCCCCACTTTGGGTCTACGGTGCCCACAAAATTACATTTGGGACCAAATATTCATCCTTTGGGCTGTGCCACTGGCCTGGCTGTCCAACTTCAGATGTGCTAATTACAGTTATTCACTCATACTGTGTCTATAATTTTATCAAGTTGTTTTCTCCAAGGTGTAACATGAGGAGAGTTGGGATATTTAGCATAACCAGCTCAACATTTGTTCTGCTGGATGGCTGCTTGCTTTGGGCTGGCTCTTCCAGGTCTTAACTAAAGCCCTTTGATTTTGACCCTTCACAGCTGATCTTGCTCTGGCCTGAAGTTCACCCTAAGCACAGCTGCCCCACACTACAGACRCAATATTCAGTTCAGCCATCACCTGGTGTGCTTTCCTTTAGAGCCAGATACTTTAGGCTGACCCAGGGGACCAAWGTTCAGTTATTTTAAACACTTCCTCTCAGAGCCCCTCAGGCACAGCTGCAAGATTTCCACCTGCCTTTYCCATCAGGCATGACCAATATTATGACCCTAGCATTAAGCAAAATGGGAAAACCATACAGGTATTCCTGTGGATAAGGAGAGGTCCCAGCGGCACTACAACTTTAAACTGTGTTTTCCTCAGCAGCACACACATATCTGAATAAAAAGGAACACAGCACAAGGAACTCCATTAAGGAGTTTCACCAATCAAAGGCATGTCAGCCTGCCTTCTGCCAACAGCCAAAACAGCTTTGCTCACAGGTAGGAAACCGCACAACTTTCCTTCTGTAGCCCACTTCTCCAAACTTCCAGACCGCTGTGCCCAACACAGTGGGATAATCCAAACCCTTTCCTATGATAAAATATCACACAATTGTTGGAGCAGCCCCAAAACACAACACATGCAAAAGTAGCTGATGTACAACCACAACCTTAAGCTGGAGCAATGACACAGCTTTGATTTCTTTGCTGAAGCACAGGCAAAATGCTTCCATAAGCACAATGAGAATGGCCACAGCAGGTTTGATCCAGTTCACTTCCAAATKATTCAATATGAATCACATTTTCTTCAGACCAAGCAGTTTGAATTTTGTGATCATGGTATTTTTGCGGAGTGCAGTAAAAAAAAAAAACAAAAACCCACCACACATATATTTTCCCTGATCTTTATCACATTTACTAGTTTTGCTTTTCTACTCCAGCCAGCCAGGAGAACCACCTCAGTTCAATACATAAAACATTATGCAGTATCTTCCAAGAAACTGAGTTTTAACAGGTTTCTACTGCTTTAATGTAATTATTCCAATTTCACTAGAGCAGAAGATGAACTAAATCAGCCAAGTAAACCAGCTGCAGGTCACAGATGAACACAGTTCTGTCAATTACTTATGGCAAAGTGAAAAGTTACCATGTAATTGGCAAGTGAGTAAGTTTATTACTTTACTCTAAATTCCCAGAGCTGCCTTATCGCTAAAAAACAAAGTTAAGCAACCAGCTATGAAATCAAAACTGTCTCCAATGAAGACAACAATTGTTAAATCAGAATTWTAATTGAGACTGGAAACCGAAATTTGAGACTTCTTTCAGGGAGAAGAATTCCACCTGACTTATTTCCAACTGTTTCTTTCCTTTTAATCCAAAATAGCCTACAAAAGCCAGTCAATTTGATTGAAAATATGAAATAAATACKTCTTGTACTTAATTAAAATAACATTTAGGCAAAAAAATTACCTCTTCTTGTGCAGCTATAGGAGGACAAAACTTACTCCAACACAGCAGCAGCAATGCTTATAATGGCATTGTACCAGAAGAGAGCCAAGCTCACAAAATTCTCAAGAAAGAAGAGGCTGTTCCAGCAGCAGTCTGTGGCTGGGATTGTGTATAKTACCCACAAGCAGTATATTCTATTTTCAGCACATATTTTGGATTGCAAATCTCAGTCTTTTTAATGCAGAACAGACCAACTTAGCATCTTCTCCTACTGAWTTACCCCACACCTTGACACCAGGAAAGAGGAAAATGTGATTTAAAAAAATATCCCAAACAAGACAGCATTTCAGTAATCTGTCAAATCACAGGCCATTAGTTAACTGGGCTTTGTCTACAGAAGTCTTTCCATTATTTTTATTTCTTTTTTTTTATGAAATTACTCAAATTGAAATTTTATGATGTTGACCTTGCAGTTAACCTCAAAAAAAAAAAAAAATCAGAGCTTGAAGGACTTTTTATTAAATTTATGCAGTGTTCTTGGTGATTTGCAGCTCTGCAAGAAACAAAATTAGTTAAAAGTTTTCCAGCTTTCCACCAACTATACTTCGCAGCTGAATGTTGATATTTAGAAAGAGATTCTCTATGTTAGAGCTTTCAACACCTCAAAGTTTACTCAAATTTGGCCTGTTCATAGAACACAGATATAGTATATAGGCTACAGACATTTGAATTCTGCATTTTGATTAAGTTCCCATCTCTACTTTCCTCTCTTCRTGCCCTTACTGTGAGCTGTGGGATGAGGCTGTGTGCTCAGCTACTCTGTTTCAACAGCGTTCTATGAAAAAGTGACAAAAACATAACATACCTGTGGATTTGCCCGTTTTTATGCAGGTAGTCCAGCCCCTCTAGCACTTCCTTAAGGATTGTGGCTATACAGGCTTCATCCAGGACACCRGTCTTGTGTTCTCCTTTGGCCACAATGTGCTTGATAATATCCAAAACAGAGCCTAGAGAAAAGAGTTAAACACTTTTGTTTAAACTAGAAGAACGRATTCACAGTCAAGTGCAATTTATCATCATTTAATACACAAGTTCAAGGATTCACTGATSATGGTCAGGATCAGAGTCAGAAGTTGAAGCCTTTGCTGCAGGAAAGCAGAGGCAACAATGCACCCCTAGGAGCAGATCCTCAAGGTGGGCTGTAAAACCCCTGTGATCACAAGTAACCGAGAATTTATTTGAACAAGTTTACTTTGAAAAAGTAAAATGTATATACACAGGACTCTTGGAAGGTTTTTAAGTATATACTGATGCTACAGCTGATTTAGTGCTGAGTACTGGAGAAGCTGAAGGGGGAAATGGAAAAGGCAGGGGGGCTGCCAGGACTTACAAGCTGAAGGCAACGAGCTTGATAAAACTAAGCACTCTTTTTCAGCTCCTGCCAACTCTGTGTGGAGGAATAGCAGGAAAAATCTAATCTGTTAGGGGCTGGTAYAACCCTAACAGGGATAAAAGTGGAAATCACTTTTTAAATAGAGAACAAATGAGGCTGAATTCTGACAGTAAGTCACTTCTTCACTGTGTACAAAACTGGAATAGCTTAGATCCTTCCCTAGAAGCATGTTTAGTCTCTCTCCCAAGCATGGTGTGAATTACATCATCTTCCATGACAAACCAAGCTTTACAGAGCAAACCACTTCTTCAAACTGCATCCAGGAATAAACGGAACCAATGACTCGCAGCAGGCCTCTTGTGCAAGGCCCTGCTTTTCACAGACACTGGTACAGCCCTCTTTGTATTTGCATCTGGACTGAAGACACTCTTCTCAGAATTTTTTATTGCTCCAGTATGGGATGGCTAAGCCTCTTTTCCAAAATCTGTGCCATTTAGGCCCATCAAACTTGGGTTTCTATGGTTTAATGACTGGATGGGGACTAGCAGGGTTTCACAGCTATGGGCACAAAGCAATGTCAACAGTACTGGGAAGTTCTTGGAGAATGAGAAAAGCAGGCACAACTGCACAGCACAAATCCCAACTTTGCTTGTTTTTGAAAAGGAAGTTTACAGGCAAAGAACATCCTGGTACTAACTCAGCTAACTTAGAAAAGCTGAGCTMCATTTTAGAAAAGTTTAGAGAAGTTCATTCTTCCTAACTCACAATCAAAAAAGTAAGAGAAAAGTATTTCTGGATCTGAAGAACAGAAACTCTCATGAATTTGGCCCATGGGGGAATTAAGTTTCACCTTGTAAATTCTTGAAGCAAGAGGTAAATACAATGGAGGTTTTTAGCTTGATTTTCTTCTCACCCTTCAGTTCAGTTAGACAAAAAACCCTTTTGTCTTTAACATTTATTTTATTAACTATCCCAACTGAATTTCTAGGCCAAAACAATCCTGCAGATCAGTTTTTCACTTAGAGAAGTATTTTCATTTTAGACTCTCCTCCGAAAGCAGAGGTTCCAAGGTTTGAATACAAGCACCATGTGGAAAGGCTCATTTTGCACAACTCAAACTGCACAGGAAACAATTGCATGGGTGCTCAGTGTCCCTTAGTTGGTGTAAAGCAGTGTATGCTGAGCTCATCTAAAAGCTTACTGCAGCCAGCAGAGCCATTGTTYCTCACTTTCCATCTTCTCTGGCTCACTGATACCAGCCTCACCTGAACACCCAGWAAACCAAATGGAAAGAAACTGAGGAATAAATTGGTTGCCTTGAATGGCACCTTGAGCTTCTTCTTACCAAAAAACCTCTGCTTCGTTCAAGATATTTGCAGAGAACACAATCATAACACAACAGACACTAACAAAAATAGAAAAAAATCCCCAAATAAATGGGGGAAAAAAACCACTGCACAAAAAAAAAAAACCCCACAAAGAAATGACAAATGAAGTTACATAACAACCACCCAACATTTTATGCAAGAATACTCAGTGTTCAGCCTTCCTTTACTCCACCCAAGCAGAGAAACACATTCATGTTTGGTGAGTTTTGACATGAGCCTTAGCCACAGGTTTCACCTGGACAAAACTCAGGTTATTTTGACATACCCTGGACTTCCTGCATCAGAGCAAAAGTATCTTTACTGAAGAAAACTAAGATTGCAGATGTTGGAGATACACCCCTTCAGTGAAATCTCACCTTCGTGTTCTGAGAAAAGGATCTTCTGCTGTGTGCCATGAGGACTCACCTGGTCTTCAGCCTATCGTGTTCTCACATTTAAAGACTACACACTTACAAACTTTGAGGCTTCTTACTCTGGACTAGAATTTTTGTGACATTAAAAAAAAAAMCCACCAAAAAGCCCCTCCACTTCCACTGTTTAGGTTTTTCCTCTCAAATGTGCCTCAATCTGGAGAACAAACTGTAACTTGTTTTAGAAGTCCAGTGAAAATATGTGGTTCTTCACGTACTCTTTTTGTCCTCTTTCCACCCACGACTCCGTTAGCAGACTTTGTTCACAAACATTTCCCTTCTCCTGCAAAGGGCTCAGGGAACATGAGGAGGCAGATCATATGGTGCTCAAATTCATTTGGTCAAAATATCCTCTATTTAGCCAAGTTAGAGGTTGTACTTAACCCTGAAAAGGGGGTGGAGGGCACACAGACAAGAGGGCATGCACAGAGCCAGCCCTGGTTGTGAAAAGGCTGATTCACACCCAGGCTATATCTGCTCTCAGTCCTGCCTGCCACTTTTTAAGTACATTTATTTTAAAACCATTTTCACATTGAGTTGTTCATAGAAGTGGGAGAAATTGCCAACCCTCTAAAAAAAGAAGAATAGCAAAAAGAAATCAGCAAAATGCGTAACGCAGGAAACAGCAGAAAAGTAAACCATAARCCACCTTTCTGTTGGAGCAAGTGTTACTAGGATCATCACCCTTTGTCTACTCAGGGTTTGTCTACTGGCACCACAACACCACAAAGCTGTGATTTTTCCACCTCACAAATCATAAGTTTGGGAGTTGGTTCTGACTCACAACTCAACTGCAACTTCATTTAGCACAACACCATGGAATACAACAAACAAAGCTCAACTGCATTTCCAAGCACTGTTTGTGCTGTGTTCCAGCATTCTAGCTCAGGAAGCCTGGCATGGAGCAACAGAATAACCAAATYCCCAAACAGAAACCCACAGCCAAGGTAGGAGCTACTTTGAAAGCAGAAGTCATGGGAATTTCGCTRTTAAGGGAAACACCTCCTGCTAGAAGGCCAGGATTGGATTTCAGCATTAGGCTGCTAAATTCAATGCAAAGTGTATCCCTGGGATCTCAGTTAAGTGTGGTCACTAGGATAGGATCTCCACAGCCTTAGGATGCAGACAAATTCCCACACCAACTCCATTATACTCCACCAAGAGATCAGGGGATTGGAATCTAAAGGGGAAAACAATGTTTTGCACAGTGGCCTGCTCCCAATCCAGCAGTACAATAACTGCTGAAATTAACTGGAAACTAATTCAGCTGAACTGGAACCAGAGTCTAAACCACACCAGAGCATGTGCTTTACAAAGCGACCACACTGTGGAAAGCAGCATGACTGCAGATACTGCCAGCCTCTGAGCCAGCTTCCAAACCAGTTTAGGAGTCACTGGGGAAGAGAGAGCACAACCAAACACATCTGGATCTCTGCCTAAATGCAGTTTCACTATGGATTTGTGCTCCATGTGCAAACTACTCAGTCGTGTAAGACAGAAGCTAGTGGTTGGAGGATGAGGTTCACACTGGAAATAAGGCACCCTGGTCTCTATTAAAGAACAGTTATAAGATTTTTAAGGAGAAAACCAATGCACTGGAATGTTTCTAGAAAATAATAAAAAAAAAAAKACTCCTCCCTAAAATAAAACTTCTATTTTAGATAATGCTGTGAAGCACTCTGGTGTGTATTGTACATGGCATTAGGCTTGATTACAATAATTTCCTCATGATTTTTCTCATTAAAAATGCACAAGTAGCAAGTACAGACTCAAAGTAGAGGAAGGTAAGACCAAAATCAAAGAAAGAAAARATAAAAAGAAACTAAGTTTGGCTGAGGCTGACTGGAAAGCTCTTCCAAGACCAGAAGGGGCCACATACCAAGAAAAGACAAAACAAGACACAGAGAAGAAGGTCAGAACTGTAGTCTAACCATAAATATAAATAATGCTGTCATTAACAAGGATGTTTAAAGAAAGCTGGTGATGAGCAACTGATCTCAAAGCCCAWCAGAAGACAAAAGAAAGGAGACAACATTTAGTGATTGATATGGAAAAAATGCAGCTAAAACAAATTCCTGCCCATCAAATACACACAGTGCAGCACATCAACAGGAAGCTTACGAGATACTGTGCAATCTGATAAAGCATTTAGCATGACTTGTCATTCATCATCCAAGTGTCTCGGTGCACTCTGACACCAGTGGTCATAGACATGTAACTACTTAGTAAAGAGCAATCTCTCAGTACAGCAGTGGAGAGGGAAGTGGTTTTCTCCTCAAACTCACAAGTCTGCTCCAAAAGCTGCTTATGCAGTAGCTCCTAAGGACAGCACAAGTCACCTGTACACAGACTTACCCTCAGCTGAGAGTGCCCAACCTGTAACTACTTGTAACAGAAGGATATTCGSATTTTGGATATTGACATCAGGCAGACCACTGGTAATGAACAGTCTTGGACCCCAGCAAAAGCAGTCCTGACTTGCACCCCACATACATATCCAGTAAATCTGACTCTTTCAACATCCTCAACTATGTGCTACTCCAAAGACACTGGGTTACCTATGGCAACAAAATGAGATTAAAATTCCATGGTTCACCATCTCGCTGTTGTACCCCTGCACCCACTTACGAAGCCATACTGTAAATGGAATCACTGCAGTAACTGGAAATCCAGTTTTCCAGGTAGGGTGGAGACCAAACAGCCAGGAACTCTTTAAACCAGCTTTGCTGCTGCAGAAAACTTCTGTGTAATTGCACCCTCGGGGCAAGAAGTCCTAATTGTTCCACTGATTCACTTTTAACAGCAAACCACGGCAA